GAGGTGAAACCTACAGGTTGAATTTATGAGGAATTTAGTGACGTTCAGGAAAAGGGCTGTGTTTTTCTTTCCAGTGCTGTTCTGAAGCCAGGATAGAGCCTGTGACGGGAGCTTTGAGGACAGTTACCAGGTGTTGTCAAAATTAATTTTGCCATCCCTGGTGTACAGAGCCCTTTCCTCTCTACCAGCAGAGGTACGTTAGACACCACCTTCTCGTGAAGGAGAGGGGAGGGTGTCCTAGAAGAGAACCCTGTCGTCCCCCACCCCGCAGCTTCCTCTTGTCCTGCTGGCTGCTCTTCCAGGCATGCCTGATCTGGGAGATGAGGGGCCAGGATTCCTGCCCTGTGGTGCTCGGGGGTTTCATGCTGGGCAGATGAGGGGGCCAGCTAGAACGAGCTTCGAGGGAGAGTGAAGCTCAATGCTCCCTCTGTGACCACCTCCGTGGAGAGGCGACATTGATGTTCAGTCACTGTCACTAGCACAGCGGCATGTTCTACACTTCCTGCCCCTTCCCAATTCAAATATCAAAGACAGACATTTCATCACAAGTCTGGGCCTGTTGACTCAACTGTGTTTTTCCGTTAGGATGCCTGCCAGTGTTGTTTCAGGTTCTCCCCTAGTTGTGTTATCTTCTGAAAATGTTGGAAAGTGTTCGTTTTGCTTATGGGTCTGGGGCCCCATGTATTAGCAAATGTTTTGGGACAAAGCAGGTCCATGAATGTGTCCTCTAAATGGGAACACGACCCCCCGAGGGTGTCCTCAGGATGAAACATGCCAAGTTCCCCAGGTGTGTCCTTGGGATGGAACACACCAACATCCCAAGTATATCCTTGGGACAGAACGCGCCAAGGTCCCTTAATGTGTTCCTGGGATTGGACACACCAAGGTCCGCTAATGTGTTCTTGGGATGGGACATGCCAAAGTCCCCAGGTGTTTCTTTGGAATGAAGTACAGCAGCCTTCCCAGGTCCCAGTTACCCAGACCCTCCTTCATTCCTGTGCTGGGTTGTTTTTCTGCTTCTCCACCAGACAGCAGTAAATAAGGGGGGATCAGGGAGATCCATTTTTGCTAACTTTCTCTCTAGGAACCGATAGACATTTATGTAGAGAAGAATTAGAAATACACATAAAATAAAAATTGTAGGTTCTTGATGAAGTTTACCGAGTACCCTGTGGGTTTCCACTTTTTCCCTGTAAGGAATTGCTGTAGATGGTCAGGGCCTCTGGGGAGGAGGAGTACTCTGACAGTGGTTCCTCTACCTGGCTGCTCTGTTCCAAAACCTTCCCGACAGCTTTCACGAAGTACACATTCCAGGGCATTGCTCAGACCTACAGAATCAGAGCCTCCAATCCCACTGGACTCAGTCACGCTGGAGCAGGAAAATTCCTGGTGATCCTTGAAGAAAATGAGGAAGTTGGGGCCAAAGCTGACCTTGCTCAGATCAGTCAGCACGCCTCGTTCTCTCGTGGGGATGGGTGATAAAAGAAGTGCACATATTTGGTCTGCCCAGCCTTGGGGTGTGTCTCCTTCACCCCATGGCAAGGTCTGACATTTTCAGTTAAGGTGAATAACTTTCCATCTAAAATTGCTATTATAAAAGGTTTTGGCTCTTCATGATGTATTTCTCACTGAATCTCCTTCATGTTGGTGAAATCCCCTGACTGGTGGTGTAGGGGCCCCTGGAGTGACCTTGTTCTTGGTAAAGACGCCAGCTGTGTAAGACCCCAAAACAAGTCAGCACCTTACATTGCAGATCCCTTGATCTCGCCTTCCTCAGTAACATGACGTCAGCTCTGAGACCTTGAACACTTGCGCTGTGTCCAGCGACAGTGCCACACAATGTGTTTGAAGGTTTCTGGGACCAACTTTGTGAGTGATGCTGCCCCAGATGCCCACCTCCTGTCACCCTTGACCCAAAAGCTAAATAGGAACGTTCTGTTCAGTTTGGGGATCTTCCCTGGTTCTGCACAGCCCTGAGACGCACGGGTGGTGGCAGAGTTGTCATTGGTGCAGATGCAAACAGGGAGTGATAGCATCTCTTGCTTTAAGAATTGGGAAGCCACAGAGCCCCTTCCCTCAGGCCATCCTGCCCCTGACTCATCCTGGGTACAGGTGCCGTGGGGGGGTGGGTCTCATCTCCTGCAGTCTCCAAGTCACAGAGTCATATGCAAGTGAGAGGCCTTTAAAACATTCTATGATTTTTACTTCAAGAAAAGGTTTTAAAAATACAGAAAAGTGTAAAGAATCAGTTACGTTTAACTGACACCTCCCAAAGTTGACAGGCAAAGATTTTCTTATCATATTTGTTTAGAATTTTTAAAAATAAAATGATATAAAGTTACTATAGTACATGTTAATATCTGTTATATATAACATTACATATCTATATTCTATTACATATAGCACAGTGTGTTAAATTATATAAAGTTGAAATCCTTTTTCCCACTATCCCCAGACTATTTCCTCCCCATCTGTGGAGAGGGAACAGCCATAGCATGAATTTACCGTGTGCCTTTTCTGTTTTAAAAAATAGCTTTGTGTGTGCATATTTGCAAACCATGAGCAATAACTGGTGTTTCAGGTGATCTTTTAAAAACTCTAAACCAGCGGTGTCGTGCCATGTCATTATTCTGCAGCTTGCATTTTCTCCTTCACGTTCACCCACCGTCCGGCTCCCGTTTTCCTCTGCAGGCATCATCCTGTGGGTGAATTCGTCCCTGGGAAGGGCCCTGTAGGTGGGTTCGGTGCTTTGCTAGTGGGAGCAGTGCTCAGGGGTGTCCTGGGATGGGGTGCACACATGTGTGCATGTGTGTAAGTGCATGCATGCATCAGGGTCCTCTTGGTGGCCCCCGGGAGGGAACTGAGGAAGAGAGAGGTGCAGTCAGATTGCCAGTCACACTGGTGGTACTGGCCGTGCTGGTGTTGACAGTGGACACTGTTGCTGCTGCTGCTGCTGTGCTTCACCCCCTTGTCTACACTCGCTTGGAAGCTCAACGTGCCTGCAGGCTTGGAAACGGTGACAGCTGCTGCTGCCCAGAGCAGAGGCCTCACCCTCTGGCTCCTGGCCATAGGCCACAGTCCTGGTCTTTCAGCACTCTCTCAGGGCCCATCCAGACCAAGGAAGGAGACCTGGGAGTTGGACCTACACCTCGGCATCCATTCTGATGTGCAGGCAGGTTGGGAACCACAGCTCTAGATGGTGGGCAGATCAGAGACCCTGCCCTGGGGCCCAGGGTGTGGTCAGATGAGACGAGGGTGGGGAGTCGGGGGTGTGAGACCCCCCAAGGGAGTGGGGTCCAGTCAGCTGTGAGCTCGCCTGGGGGGCTGCAGCCCCAGGGGACAGTGGCCTGGAGCATCCTGTGCCAACAGCAGTTGCTGGGCCCTCTGGGAGCCCCTGGGAATCTAGGGAGAGGCTGCCCTTCTCCAGCCCTGTTGTTGCCCTGTAGCCCCAGGACTTCTGAGGTGCATCCTCTCCTGCAATTTGGGGGCTGGAACATCATTTTGGACTTTTTTTTTTCCTTCTTGCCCATGGTTGTGCAGTGAGGCTTGCCGTTCTTGGGACTGCGTGGGGTGGGGTGGGGGGGGCGACCCCACCTGCTGGGCACCTGCTGACCACCAGGCTGGGCTTATCTGGGCAGGGCTCTGCAGCAGGCAGGAGCATCTGGCGGGAGCAGCCTTGCAGCCTGCAGCCTTGCACTGCAGTGGGCTGGCCTCCCTCCCACAGCCCCAGCCCCCTGCGGGCTGCGGATGCGCAGCCTACCTTCTGGAAGGGCAGGGCTCAGCTGCCAGCTCCGGTAAGGCGCGCCCCCTCACCCAGCTCACTGGCCTCCTTTCCTCTGGCTTTTGTCTGGTTCTGTTTAGAATGGCTGGAGGAAAGGATACCACAGACGGGAACAGATCTTAACCCAAAAGGCTGTGTGTGGAGGGGACTCAGCAGAGAGCTTAAAAAGCAGGAGCTGGGTCAGCTGGGGAGCATGGATCGGGGTTTCCTGGGTTCCATCCATCTGTTTGTGCTTGTCAGCTTTCCCAGAAGCATTAGTTTAGACAGAGCTTCCTCCATTTCCAAGTACGAGATTTTAAAGTCTTTTACGAGGTGTGTGTTATTTCTGGGTTGTGTGGTCATGTATTTGTGTTTCTGCGTGCATGTGTTTGTATGTGTGTATACGTGGGTGTGCGTGTGCATGTGTTTATGTTTGTGTGCCTGTGTGTTTGTGTGTATGCATGTGTTTGTGTGCATGTGTATTTGCATGTTTGTGTTTGTGTGTGCACACATGAGTGTGCATGTGTTTGTGAGTGTGGGCATGTGTATGTGCATGTTGTGTGTGTGCATGTGTGTGTCCGTGTGCATGCCTGCTTTGGGCTAGTGGTGTCCAAGGCAGCCTCGGGAAGGAGACAGCCATGCTGTCACAGAAGCAGACCAGTGGCAGCTCTGTGGGCTGGGGTGATGTGGCACATTGACCACTTCTTCCTTGTAAAGTGGGGGGAGGACGATGACTGGTGTTCTGTCTCATCTAATCAAAGCACCCACTCCCGCCCCCACCCTCACACTCGGGGAAGTTCTGCCTGGTGCACAAGAGGGCTTGGAGGACAGGAAGGTGGATAGAATGTGGAGGCATGGTGAGCCTGCAGAGGCCAGTACTGTGGTGGGGAAAAGCACTCAGTGGGTTTGACACCCCAAAGGCCCTGGTGCTGGATGGTTGGGCAGGCTGAGGTGTGTCATTGTCTCCTGTAGGGTACGTGTAGTCCCCTCTGAGCCTCAGGATGTGGACAGCAGGCTGCTTGCTCTGTGACTGCCCTGGGGACTGCTTTTCTGGGGATGCACACAGGTGGTGTCAAGGTGCTGCCCAGCCTTTCAAGGGGCATGGCCAGTGGGCAGAGTCCTTGAGCCTCCCCCAGACCTGCTTTGATAGAACAGTGACAGGTGTTAGGAGATTTGAGTTTAGGAGGACCTGGGAGTGGGCTCGATTAGACTTGTTTACTCTGCATTGCTTCCGTTTCAGGGATAAACGCTCAAGCCCGGAGGCTGCAGCGGAGCCGTGCGAAAGGAACCCCAGCCCCGGCCCTGGGGGTTGCTCAGAGCACCCCTCCACCCCGGCTGCGCCGCACAGTCAGTGAGACCAGCCTGAGCCCGGCTGGCACCCTGCCCGACGCCACCCAGGACCCCGAGGAACCTGGCCAGGACGCCATGCGCTACTCTCTGTACCAGTCCCCACACCTGCTGCTCCTGCAGGGCTACAGCCAGCAGCACGTGAGCCACCACCTCCTCTCCTACCACCCGCCCGCCTGGGCATGCTGCCCGCAGGGACGAGCAGAACCACGGGCCTCTTCTTGCTTTGAGCTGAGTCAGCTGTGAGCTTCCGTGGCTGCAGCCCCGTCAGGCTGTGATGAGGCTGTGGAAAGGGGTGGGTGGAACATGTGCTGGGCCTGGCCTGCGTCCTCTGTATCCAGGTGACAGCAGGTGACAGCAGGGGAGAGGGCTCCTCTCTCACTGGTCCCAGAGTGGATCTTCCCTTGGCACCAGGCCCCCTTTGTGGAGAACTCTCTACCCCTTTCCAGATTTTTTCTCGGGCCACTTCTTGCCCTGGCTTTGGGGAGGGTACAGGCAGGTGACCAGAGCCAGTCTGCTTCCTTCTCAGGTGACGGTGGGTGCTGAGCCACTGCTTGGTGACTACATTCTCTGAGGAGGCACAGAAAAAAGGCTGCACTGCCCTCCATCCCCACCCCCAGAGCCATTTCTCACTGCCCTGCCAGAAGCACCTTGGCCACAAGGATCTAGCCCAAGTGGTCGGCTGTTCCCATCACTTGCTCCTCCTGCCTGGTGTCCTCCTGTCTCTCAGTTCCTTTCCCGCTCCATTTCCATGAACGCTTTACCATGTTAGGGCTCCTGGTGCTCAAGTCTTAGGAGAATCTTCCCTCGCTGAGCTGGACGGCAGGGAGCCCCATGCTTCCGCAGCTCTGTGTGAATGGCCTGCGGGGAGCCGGGCCACCCTGGGCCCATGTCTGTAAAGCCAGCATCTGTTTCCAGGCCAGCCCTTACCTGGCCTCTCCCATCTCAAAGCTGGGTTGCTCCTGGGTCTCTCGTGTGCCATGGAGGCTCCCCCAGGACAGGTTGGGGCAGCAAGGGAGGGTTACTGAGGGCATTGATGACTCTGGTGTGGGGGTGGCCCAGGACTAAAGAGGCCCTAAGGACAGTAGTCCCAACTATACAGCTTAAATGACCAGAGACTGGGACACCTTTTTTTCCTTTTCTTTTTTCTTCCTCTGCTCAAGTTGCCTGAGGTGGTGTCCTACCCCTAAGTCATGTGTCTGCATTTCAGGACAGCTTGGTGTATGTGCTCAATCGGGAGCGGCACACGGTGGGCCAGCGGACCCCGTCCAGCAAGCCCAGCATCAGCCTCTCGGCGCCCGATATCCTGCCCTTGCACTGCACCATCCGCCGGCACCCGCCCCCGCCCCCGGGCAGCAGCCAGGCCGGCGGGATGCTGGTGCTGGAGCCCATCCCCGGGGCGCCTGTGTCGGTCAACTTCTCCGAGGTGGGGCGGAGGACGGTGGTGCTGCACCATGGGGACCTGCTTTCCCTGGGCCTCTACTACCTGCTGCTGTTCAAGGACCCTGCGCAGGCCCAGCTGCTGCCCACCCAGGCCCTGGCTCATCTCCGCTCCATGCCACAGAGCTGCAGGCTGTGCGGCGCTGAGCTCAGGGCCCAAGGCATCGCTTCTGCCTCATCAGCTGTTCTGCCCCAGCGGAGGCAGTTGCACCTCGAGTTTGAGTCCGACCTGGAGGATATGCTGCTACAAAGGATCATGACACTGATCGAGCCCGGGGGCGATGACCACAAGCTGACCCCTGCCTTCCTCCTCTGCCTCTGCATCCAGCACTCGGCCACCCACTTCGAGCCAGGCACATTTGGACAGCTCCTGCTCAAGATAGCCAAGATGATCCGTGAGACAGTCTGGGTCAGTTGTGCTGGGGTGGTGCATCGGTGTCCAGAGTGTCCTCAGGCTGTGGGAGGAGCTGGGTTGGGAGCTGCCCCTGCGGGGCTGCAAGGCTGAGCACAGGGAGGCTCTCCCTTCCTGTCCACACTCCCAGCCCAGCGCTAACCAGCAGCAGCCTCATGCTGCAGGGCATCAGCTGCAGCGCTTGGCCTTGTGGGGGTCGGGCTGGTTTGGAGACAGCAGTCACCTCCTGTGTTCTTGGCTTTTCTGCCTCTCCGTGATCCAGCCGGGACCAGCACCTGGGAATGAAGTGCCCCAGAGCCTGGGCACTGGTAGGCCGAGGTGACATCAAGGGCTCTCACAGGCCTCTGCCTAGGAGCCCCGGAAGTCTCCCACAGGGCTGGGTGCCCCCTGCTTTCCACCAAGGGCAGATTGAGCTGCTGCCCACTTGAGCTGTCCCCCACTGCGAGCCCCTTGTCAGCTTGGTCATGGAGGTGCAGGGCCGGTCAGCTTTTGTACATTCGCAAACTTTCCTCCAGGCCACGGTCTCTCAACTGGGACCCTATGGATATTGCGGCCAGGAGAATTCCTTGCTGTGGGGCCTGACTTGTACACTGTAGGGTATATGGCAGAATCCTTTGCCTCTACTCACTAGAGCTGGTAATAACCACCCCTCCCCACCACATATACACCTTGGCCCATGGGTCCAGGCATTGCCCAAGGTCCCCTGGGGGCCAAGGTGACCCTGATGGGCAGCCCACCCTTGGAAGATTAACTTGGAGTTGCTAACACCTGTTGGGAGTGCTGCCTGGGTGCACCCCACAGTTGCAGCCTCCCTGCCACGGCTCCTGCCCCATAGTGACTCGACTCCCAGGAACCCAAAGGACGGCTTGTGGTTACTCAGTGTGGTTCAGAGACCCTCACTAATCTTGGCTATGCTTATCCTGGGCGTATGTGGGAAATGGAAACCATTTGGCTGTGTAGAATCCTGATCGATTTCTCATGTTAAAATCCACATTTAAAACATTTGAAACTCTTTAAAAGCAAAAGCCTGCACAGGCTGTCCCATCCAAAGGTTTGCACAAACCATCCGTATGCGTTGTAGGTGCTGTGCCTGCGTGGGTCCCCAGTGAGGAATTTGATATGAGTGCCACTACAGTGTGACCACTCAGCCTCCATGCAGTCGTGTGCACGAGCCAGGTGAAGTCCATGTAGTGTGGAAACTGTCTGCATTGTGGCCAGCCATGACCAAGAGTTACCCACTGGTTAGAAGTTATGAATTTTCACATGATCATCAACATTTCCTAAGTTTGCTCAGTGCCAGGCACTTGGCCGGTTT